GAAGTTATATACTCATTTTCAGTTAACATGTGGGAAATCTACTACCACATTTTATTAATAGGTTGATACTTCATTTTCAAAAATAGATACCACTCAGGTCACTCCTTGTCCAGAGCAAAGAAATATGAAGAAAACCAAAGATGCATGGAAACAATTAGTCCAAGGTACTAGTAGACCATGCAAACCTTAGTCTATGTGACCATGAGACCAGAAGAACTAAATGGTGTCTGGCTACCACTGTCAATCACTTGGAAAGGGATAAGTGTGGGAGAGCCTGGACAGAGGGGGAAAATAATGTGGAACAAAACTCAAAATCATATAAAAGACCAGGTTTACTGGTCTGATACAGCCTGGTGAGGCTACTACTACTATGGCCCCTAGTTACCCTTCAGGCCTGGAATTGAACTCAGTTCCCTGGCTTCCAGCCAAACAATAGACAGGCATATAGGGTGAACATATACACCAGGTAGATACAGTTCTTGGAATGATCAATTGTGGGAGAATAGAAGGGTAGTATTCTCTACTAGCTCAGGGGGCAGGAATGCACAGGAAAGCAGGATGTAAGGAAGAGGTAACTACAGGCAGGAAGCAGGAAGAGAGGTGTTACACTGTGGCGATTGCAGTCAATGTCACGAAACAAAATGTGTATGAACTGCTGTATGGAAAATGAATTTGCTCTGTTAACTTTCACCCAAATCACAATAAAATTATATATATATATATTCCATTGAATTGACAACTTATGGGAAATAACTCTTTTCACTTTACTGAACAAAAGGACACTTTCTTTTAAAACATATTTTCCTATTTCTTTTAAAATAGCATTCAAGCTACCATCCTCCAGAATGTTTAAAGTTTCAAGGTCTTGATCAAGAAACCTATAGTCATCATCTCTACCTTCTGTAATCATGAGAACATAAATGAAAAAAAGGAATCACAATTTGAAAACTGGCACAAAACACAGACATTCAAACATGGTCATCGTAACTTCTTAGACTAATAACTGGCCTCTTAGCTGACTGCTACAGCAAAGGTTTAAATAAAACGTTAAAAAGAACATTAATAATAAGTAATAGCTTCTAAAGATGACAAACTACATGGTGAAACCTAAAATAAATTACTGGAATCTACAGAGACAGATCTCATAAACATACTTAACTAAGCCATAGAAGATTAATGAGTTGTCTAAAGTACCAGTTTTCCTGCAAAGAATCAAAGTGCCAGCCTGGCTGTGGCTGCTGCTAACTGAGTTCACACCACACATGGGCTGGTTCACAAGTGTCTTGTGGACAGAAGTGAACCCAGTGAGGATAAGGAGAAAAAAGGCCCTGTTCCCCATACAGTCAGCACATAGAAATTCTGTGGTTTGTGCCAACTTTCTTGCTGGCTCACTGGGGTTTGGGGAGAAAAGACACACATGCTCTTTTGTTTCTCTTGGGTGACCCATCGCATATGCAAGTCAGGAAATATATTAAAAATATATATATCCCTACTTTCCAGAGGGGAATCCCTGGTGGCAAAGTGGTAAAGCTCTTGGCTGCTAACCAAAAGGTCAGCAGTTCAAAACACCAGCCCCACCATAGGAGAAAGATGTGACAGTCCGCTTCCGAAAGATTTACAGCCTTGGGAACCCTACGGGGCAGTTCTACTCTGCCCTGTAGGGTCACTAAGAGTCAGAATCAACTTGATGCCAAAATGTTTGTTTGTTTGTTTGTTTTTCAAATCAGAGGAGCAAATAATACATTTTGGGTTTATTCTGGTACTTTCTGTATACTACAGAACAAGGGAAATACAAAAGACCACAGCTCCATATCTACACATCTCTATGTTCTATTTAGGACCACATCTCCTCACAAATAAAAAGCCTGTGGTTACTATTCACACCAGTGGTACAAGGACTAAAGCAAATGCGCTCATCTTCGGTTATACCCATTCAGCGTGAAGTGACCTTCCCTACCTTTGAACTAGTTCAGCAACCGCTTTGTCAAACTTATTTAGCAACTAAATACGGCCTGCTTATTAATGTGATATTACCTTACCCTATGACTGAATATTTCTTGCAATTGACTTTTCACCTACTTATGTTATCTCCTACCAGAGTATTTCATTGTAAGCAAAGTTTTAAAACATATATAGAGAACAAGATTAGTGAAAAAAATTTAAACAATTCCAAAATATCTAAAGTGAAAGCTCCCTTTACTTCCAAGTCCCCACCTCTCCTCTAGGGGAATTACTATTAATATTTTGGTGTACTGCATAGTGTTTTTTTTTTTCAAAAAAATGAGAATGTTATATATTGTTCAACAATATATAACATTCTTTTTACTCAGTATCATGGACTCTTCCATGTTACTACTGAGAGAAATATCTCATTCTTTGGCTGCTCAGTATCCTCTAGTATGGTTATACTGCTATAGTTTAATATTTTTTATACTTGATTTTTATTAGGTATACATATATACAGTACAAGATTCAAATGTACAAACAACTCCCCCATTGACAGCCATTGTTTCTAGTATTTGGTACTACTAACACTGCAATGAAGAAAGCCTGATGGTGCAATGGTTAAGTGTTCAGGTGCTACCTGAAAGGTTGATAGTTCAAACCCATTCAACAGCTCTGCAGAAAAGACCTGGTGATGTGCTTCCATACAGATATTAGTCAAGAAAACCTTATGGGGCAGTTCTACTCTGTCACCATATCAATCAACTCAATGGCACCTAACAACTACAATAATAACATTGCAGTGAATATCCTCAGAAACCCAATATTGGATACTTGCTGATATTCCTATGAAACTGAGTGCAAGAATTAAGTAGTTGTGTGTTCTGTGCCCATGGGTAGCTGATAATACAAGATACCTTCTTCCTTACTATCATAGAGAATTTGATACTTAGTGTCCAAGTAGCACTTTGTAGTTATCCTTGCTGTAATTTGTCCTATCACTCTTGTAAAAGAAAGCTTTTGGAAACTAACAGGTAGTCACTTTGCTGTCATATGCTATTTTTATATGCTTGAAAGAAGAGGCAGAAACTTCTGTTGTATTTGGTATGACTTCCTGTCTGGGACATTTCTGTAAGCTAAAAGGCTGACATGGTAATCTTTTTAAAAATTATTATAAGTTTCTATACTGATAGTTTAATAAGTAATGATTAAATATTTTAACAGGCTTAAAATTTGGTTATGATTCTACACTTACATGGACTAAATGACATACTTAACTGACTGAGATGACAGCTATGTAACTCAACTTTTTAACTGGCGTTTTTCCACCCCAGCCCAAGCATAATAAAAATTTAACTTTCCCTTCTTCTGAGAACTAGAGAATGGAGCCTTACTCACGTGAAAAAAAAAAAAAAAAGCGTTTAGATATCACAACCATCTTTCTGCTCAAGAATTAGTAATACAGTATGTATTGCTCACAGTGTGGTAAGAACAAGGAATGTTTGGAAACACTGAATTTCTGGAGATGAGAAGTCTAGAAACAAACATCCTTCTCAAGGTCTATGTCTCATGCCATGCTTAGTCCAGCAGACATTCAGCATTCAACTTAAATGAGTTCTCAGTTTCCAGCTACCAGTTAGTGGTCTTAAGAATCTATCAAGACGTCCCAAAAGCATTAACTTCAGAAAGGTGAGCATTCCCTAAACCCATAACTCATCCCTGAACTCCAGTGCAGACTGCTGTTTGTTTAGCCTTACTGTCTATAATGCATTTGCAAAAATGAAAAATGTTGGCTTGTGCCAGACCTAAAGGACTAGCTAATCAGCATTTAGGAGGTACCCCCAAAACACTCTTTAGAGTGTTCGCATTCACCATTTTAAGTCATTGGTCATCTTTCCCTGGTTGAGCACTTCTCCCACTTTAATCAGATCATGCTTGAAATAAATTTTTAAATTCCTTTTGGCAATGAAGCCTGCAAAGTAAGACCTTTTACAGTGGTCTGCTATTCATTCTGCAAAAACGATTCACATTTCTATTCAGTCAATAAGTATTTACCAGGCATCTACCATGTGTCAGACACTGGCAAGGGATAAGTGATATAATGGCACCTAAACCATGATGTCTAACTTTAGGGAATGGTAGGTTTTGGAGGGATAAGACATGTAAACAGGCAATTATCATTGCCTGTGAGTGCTCTGGTAAGGGAAGTTCTCCAAATGCAGACTCAGAAAGAAGGGTTCCCTGAGAAGGTAAACCATGAGTGATGAAGAGGAGAGACGGGACATAGAAAAGAGGGGTAAAGAGAAGGGCTTATGTAGGCTCAGGGGGAAGTACATATGACATCTGGGGTGCTGAAATTAGTTCAGTCACTGAAATAAATCTCCATTTTACAAAGGTCAGGAGAAGGCACATTACAGAAATTGCCAAGCAGCTCAACAGTACTTGTGACCCCAGAACTAGAGAAAAGGTGCTGCTGTGCCCTTGGGAATATCAGTCTGGTGGCCCTTAACTCTTTTTTTTTTTTGATTATTAATCACTTGGAGATTCTGACAACAGTTCTTAATCTTCACATCAGAACAATGTCCCTGAATATAATTTTGCTACAATTTCAGGGAGGTCAGAGTCACCAGCAGAGCCCATCAAGACCTCTAGTTAAAGTCTAGCTCAGACTCAATCAAGCTTCAAGCTCATGTTGCAAAAAGGGTGAATCTGAAACCCAGGATGACTTATAAAAGCAAGTTATAAAAGCTAAGCTAAAACCTAAGTCTCCCAAAATCTAAGTGTTCTTTCCCTTACTGCATTGGGAAGCATCTCTAGAGAAGGGTCCACTTAAACTTTAAAGAATCCCATATTCAACTGATCGCTGACCCACTCTATCCTATCAGGCTCAATCATTCCATCTTGCATTGTGATAGCTCCCTGGTCTGGGTCATTTGACTAGCTCATTCTATATTCTAGAAGATGGACCAAAGGCAATTTACCAAACATGCATAGCAGACAGTGGTGCATCACATTTGTTTCTCAGTCTCAAGCAAAGTCAACCAAAAGTTGCTTACCTATTCCCTGCCACATCGAGGACATGAAGCTCTGTTGCCTGCGAAACCTCTGCAGGTATCCGAGTTAACCTATTGTCACGCACACAGAACATGGTGAGACTGCAACACCCGCCAATCTACAATGGGAAACAAAATATATCTTTTTTCCTGTTGTTTTTTTTGGTGGGGGATGACACAAGACTGGAGCATCTTATTTAACAAAATGCATGAAATGCAAAAGGATATGTAAAATTATGCCACATAATTTTAAGTTTCACTGATGACTAAACATAATTAACTTTAAACCATATTAAACAATGAGAAGTCCAATATATTCATAAAAATCTCGGCAAAACGTTAAACACATACATACTAAACTAAATCCAGAAAGTAAGTAATAAAGCTCAAAATTTCATTCTGAAAAGGAAGTCATTTACCACTGCTGATATATAGTGCATTTCTGTTTTCTGAATATGTTAACTAACCTACATAGGTTCGGATACACGTTATTTGGTGATATGGGAGTTTAACAACTCTAAGTTTCAGAAGTTAGCTGAGAGATGACACACACACATGCAGACCCCCTTTTGAAGACCTGCTCATTATATTAACTTCAGTGTTTCAGTTTATTTAAAAAAAAGGGTGAGGGAGCATCTGAGAGATGACATAATGCTTTGCACATTACATCTTTTAATAGCTTCTGGTTATTCACAGTTAGCTGAATGACTTTCCTTTAACCAAAAGAAACACATCTTAACAAAAAGAGGATTTGGTAGGTATATACATTAATCTCCTCGGTTATGAGCTGCTGGTGAAAGCATATAAATCAGCACTTGTATCCACGCCAAATGTGATTACCTTTTTTTTTTTAAAGTAAGTAATTCAAGGGTAACTGAGCTCTGTATGAGACTGGTCTTCAAAAAGGAACATAAACATAAAAGAGTTCAATGAGTCTCTTGAACAAACTGGCTGTGATTCTTACAGTCAGGAAAGCTGAACCAAGGGGTAGAAAAATAACTCGATCCCAGACACAACATTCTGCAGGACTCCATAAAGTACCACATTCTTCTTGTTCTCACTATCCTGACTAAGAGCAATTGCTAGAAAAGGCTCATGAAGGAACCTATTGATATCTGTCTGACACATGGAAAAATACTCCACAGAGCCTCCCACTTAAGGAAGAGCAAGAGACTTGAATCTTCAATGATATCAGAATATATCTTCTGCCCTTTTCTATTTCTGTATGTGTTTAATATATGTATGCACCATCCTAAAAAGCAAACGGTGTATTTAAGAAATTGCTTCATAATTGCCTTCGTACACCACAATCTTTTCATATCTTCCCTTTAAGAGCTCATGCAAAAGGGTTTGAAACTGTATTTAACCATAATGGAGAAAAAGAAAAACAAACATATTAGAAAAAAAAACTAACATTTGTCACTTGGTATCTTAGTTATCTAGTGCTGCTATAACAGAAATACCACGAGTCTATGGGTTTAACAAGCAGCAATATATTTGCTCACAGTTTGGGAGGCTACAAGTCTGAAAGTCTGAATTCAGGGACTCAGCTCTAGGGGAAGCCTTTCTCTCCGTGGGCTCTGGGGAAAAGTCTTTGTCTCTTTTTAGCTTCTGCTCCAGGGCAAACTTCAAGTGCCTTGGCATCTCTCTTCCCCCATCTCTGCTCCCCAGTTTACTTGTTTAATCTCTTTTATGTCTCAAAAGAGACTGACTCAAAATATACCCTACACTAATCTTGCCTCATGAACATAACAAAGACAACATTCCCAAATGGGATTATAACAACCACAGGCATAGAGGTTAGGATTTACAACACATATTTTGGGGACACATTCAATCCCTAACACCTGGAAGCATCCAGATATGTAGAAAGGCTTTTAGATTATCCCCTTATTTCTTACAATTCACATTTCCCTCCCAGTAAAATCAGTTTACTTACTATCCCTTAAACACATCTTGGATTTTTGGTTCCACTGTTTGATAGAAATGCCTTTTTCGTCTTTACCATGCTGTAACTCACCAAACACCCAAATGATCAATAAGCTTTATGTCCTCTTTAACCCAACACCCACTGCCATCAAATTGATTCTGACTCATAGTGATCCTAAAGGACAGAGCAGAACTGCCACATAAGATTTCCAAGGCTGTAAATCATTATGGAAGCAGACTGCCACATCTTTTTCCCATGGAGCGGCTGGTGGGTTTGAATCATTGACCTTTTGCTTAGTGGTTGAGCACCCAACCACTGTGCCACCAGGGCTCCTAAATATCCTCTACTCCTCCATAATGTATTCCCAGAGCTCTCTGGTCCATATTGATATTTTGCTTTCAATATATTTTCATAATTATGGTAAATACTCTCTAATAGCACAAACTATTTTGTGACGGTTTTTAAATTCACTTGACAGAGCTATTGTTTGATTTTTATACACTTGCACATATATACCAGGGTTCTTGGCAAGTATAGTACTCAGGTACCCAGGCACCTCTCTACATATTAACATTCTCAATTAAATATGCCTATATGCTTATATTTATGTATTTACTTACTTAGTGAAACTGCTATTTAAAAGTTATCATCTGCTTCTATGTGTAGCAACGGAGATAGCAAAGCTCTTCTTTGTCCTCGAAGTATCATTTAAAATGTTGTTATTATGTGCCATCGAGTTGGACTCAACTCATAGCGACCCCACCTTGGGTTTCTGAGGCAGTATCACTACAGAAATAGATTGCCCAACCCTCCTTCCGAGGAGTGGCTGGTGGGTTTGAACCGCCAGCCTTCTGTGGTCAGCAGTTAAGTATCTTAGGCACTATGCCATCAGAGCTCCCATCATTTAAAATAACTCTGTTTAAACCAGAAAACCAAACTCATTGTCATCGAGTTGATTCTGACTCACAGTGACCCTATGTTGTTGTTGTTGTTGTTATGTGCCGTCAAGTTGGACCCGACTCATAGCGACCCCTCCTTGGGTTTCCAAGGTGGTATCACAATGTAAGTAGATTGCCCAACCTTCCTTCTGAGGAGTGGCTGGTGGATTTGAACTGCCAGCTTCTGGTTAGCAGTCATGTGCCTTAGGCACTACACTACCAGTGACCATGTAGGACTGAAAAGAACTGCCCAAGGCTGTAAATCTTTATGGAAGGAGACTGCCTCATCTTTCTTTCTTATGCGGAACAGTAGGTGGATTTGAACCACTCACCTTTTAGTTAACAGCCGAATGATTTAATCACTATGCCATCAGAGCCTCACTTAGGTTTTATAAATATAGGACTCCCACTGTTCTAGCAGAGAGGTTCAACAGGATCTTTTGTGTGGCTTGACATTTCTTCTCTTCCTTGGGGAAGGGAATCATCAATTCCCTACTAGAGTTGTTGCCATCAAGTTGTTTCCAACTCATAGCGACCCCATGCACAGCAGAACAAAAACACCGCCCAATCCCGCACCAACTCCATGATCCTTGCTATATTTGAGCCCATTGTCACAGCCACCGTGTCAATATATCTCATTGAAGGCCTTCCCCTCTTTCATCGACCCTCCACCTTACCAAGCATGACATCCTTCTCCAGGGAATGGTCCCCTCTGACATGAACAAAGTAGGTGAGATGAAGTCTGGCCAACCTCGCTTCAAAGGAGCATCTCGGCTACACTTCCTCCAGGACAGATCTGTTAGTTCTTTTGGCAGTCCATGGTACCTGCAGCATTCTTCGCCAGCACCACAACTCAAAAGCATCAATTCTTCTTTGGTCTTCTTTATTCATTGTCCAGCTCTCACATGCATACAAGGTGATTGGAAATATCATGACCTGTGTCAGGCGTACCTTAGTACTCAAAGAGACATCCTTGCTCCTCAGCACTTGAAAGAGTTCCTTCGCAGCCGATCTGCCCAGTACTACACGTTGTGTAATGTCCTGACTGCTGCTTCCATTGGCGTCAATTGTAGAACCAAGCAATGTGAATTCTTTGACAACCTCAATCTTTTCTCCATTTATCATGATGCTGCTTATTGGTCCAGTTGTTAGGACTTCTGTTTTTTCTATATTGAGATGTAATCCATACTGCATACTGTGTTCCTCAATCTTCATCACTAAGTGCCTCAAGTCATCCTCACTTTCATCAAGCAAAGTTGTATCATCAGCATATCTCAGGTTGTTAATGATACTTCCTCCAATCCTGATGCCACTTTTTTTTTTCATATAGTCCAGTTTCTTGGATTATTTGCTCAGCATATAGATTAAATAAGTATGGGGAAAGGATACAACGCTGACGCACTCCCTTCCTCATTTTAATCCACACAGTGTCCCTCTGTTCCATTCGAACGACAGCCTCCTGGTCAAGGTACAAGTTCCTCATGAGTACAAACAAGTGTTTGGGAATTCCCATTCTTCTCAATGTTATCCATAATTTGTCATGATCCACACAATCAAATGCCTTTGCATAGTCAATAAAGCACAAGTAAAC